GCCAGGTTAGTGTTCTGCTGTCACTTCCTGGATGTCCTCCACCCTCCATGTGCTTCTCCTTTTCTTTACCATTGCTCCTCTCCAGATGCGTTTCTTGTGATACGGCCACCAAATCCTCATTTTCTCCTCCATATTCCCTCCAATGGACCTGGTTTGGCTTCATTGACCCTTTGTAGCGCCTCTTTATTCATGATCCTGTCCATCCAGCTGATCCTCCTGTAGGACCTCAGTTCAGAGCTTGTCATCTTCTCTACATTGTGAGGGGAAATGTTTCTTCACCAGGCCAGAGAACGGACCAGGCCAGAGAACGGACCAGGCCAGAGAACGGACCAGGCCAGAGAACGTAGAAATCTTGTGTTTGTTTTTAGCGGTTGGTTGTTAGTGACCTGGTTTGGCTTCATTGACCCTTTGTAGCGCCTCTTTATTCATGATCCTGTCCATCCAGCTGATCCTCCTGTAGGACCTCAGTTCAGAGCTTGTCATCTTCTCTACATTGTGAGGGGAAATGTTTCTTCACCAGGCCAGAGAACGGACCAGGCCAGAGAACGGACCAGGCCAGAGAACGGACCAGGCCAGAGAACGGACCAGACTTGGGTTTGTAGAAATCTTTTCTTTGTGTTTAGAGGGAGGTTTGTAGCGCCCCTTTGTGGTAGGTTAGTCAGCTAGTTAGGCCTACAATTAGAACAATTCCAGCAATGGGAGGTTAGAAGCCCAGTCCTCACACTCTTGGGCCAATGGACCATGTCAGGAGACACATACACTCAGCTTCAACTCAGTAACAAGGGGCCCCTGAAGCCCGTGGTTGGAGGCCTGGTCCATCAGAGGTTGCACCGAACGACCAGCCCCCCAAAATAATCACCAGCGTCACAGGCCACAAGTCGTGTAGTAGAGACATTGGACCCATCAGTGCCAGGCTGGCTGACCTACCTTCACCAGGACACCTCCTGACCCATCCACATTTAAAGTCTTTACATACCCAGGTATAGGATACTTTCCAGTTCACAGGAATAACAAGACTCTGTCCATCTTCATCATTAACTCCTCTTTACTATTGGAGGTATTGCAACAGAACAGTTCATATTTAAATTCTTCCATCTTCCATGGCTGGCCAAGGTCAGTTCTCTCGACAGCAACTGGGGTACTCGTTTATGAGCATCCTCCATCTACCCCAGGAGGGCCACTCTGCAGAAGAACAGATGGAATTCCCCAGAAGAGGAAGGCCGTAAACCATTTGCTTCAAACATGCTCGGACCTCAACTCTCCCATGAGGGCCCAGATGATTCCTTGTACCACCAACCACTTCCTTCTCTCTCTATGACTCCCTTTCTTCTCCCACAGTCCCCTCCTCCTTTCTCTTTGTACCCCTAAATTGGTAGGGAGGCGGGGAACCCAGTGAATTACACCCCACCATCCATAATGGATCTATAACAGATGGTTCTTCATCTATTTGTGCCTCCAGAAACTTTGTTACCTCAACATCATTCCTCAGGTCTTCATTGATCCTTATTGCCAGGCATTGGAAGTTGGCTTCTTATCTATTCTTTCATTTTCTAGCACAAGTTTTACTTCTTTGTGTCCTTTGTTGGGTCCAACCATGATCTCCGTGATTTCAGTGTTTATATGGACGGAGACTTCTTTGACTTTTTCCTTTATTTCATGAAAGTGTACAGTATGTGAACCTTTTCTATTCTAGAATCATTACGTCATCCTCAACACTAATCTACAATGTAAGACAAACATCCTAATAAGAATCAGAAACAATCAATAATAGGATCACAAGTGGTCACATGACCGCCACGCAGGGGCTGCTTTTGAGCTCCTTGAAAGCTGTAGGAAATGTTATTCACCTCTGTCTTGTTCGTCATCTTCACTAGGGAAGCCCGGTGATCACGGCACAATTGCTGAGCGGCCGTCCAGTTCATCTTCTCTTCTGATACATAGTAACAATAGCTGTTTATTTCAGGCCAGTCTGTAGGACACTTCAATGGGCACGGTGACTCCGGTGGACTCGGTGACTCTACAGAAATAAATTTACATTATATAACTGTGATGGGCTCTTAGATTGTTAACGACATTTTGTAACCCTATAATGCTTCCCTATAATACTATTGGGCCCCGAAAGGGCCACACCACAAGTAA